CCTGGACAACTGACCACATGCAAACCTGCCCAGGGGCATGCAGGCTAACCTACCATGAACTTCAGTGTCACAGGCCTTTGACTTACAGGTCTGAACATCCACAAACATTATATGTCCAGACAAGTGTGATCAAGTGATTTGCACAGAACTTTTCAAAATACATTCTGTCTGGTTTAAAGTAAAAAGGGGAAAAAAAAGGGAACACAATTCTTACCGGTACACATACGGCCCCCTCTGTACCACCATGGGCTTTTCTCCGTTTAGGGTTTCATTAGGATTGACAATATGAAAGAAATATACAGACATAAAGAAGGGAACTGGGATGTCCTTCCACATAGTGTAGGAGAGTCCGTTGCTCGGGTTAATCTCTACATTCTGTGAAGATATGATGTGAAGATGGTTAGTGGCCAAAGTGTGAAATGATGTATTTAAAATAGCTTAACTTAAAACCTCATCTTTAGATTTAATTATTAAATGCAGATTTATGGCTTTTTGAGAGACAACATTGAATATTTATCAAAATATCAAAAAAAAAAAAAAAAAAAAGTGATAAAAAGTCCCTTGAATTTAGATCTCAGTTCAAAAGTTTTTGAAATGCTCACCAAGGTTGCATTTATTTGATCAAGTTACAGTAAAAGCAGTAATATTGTGATATATTATTAGAACTTAAAAGAAACGTTTCCTATGTTAATATATTTTAAACTGTAATTTATTCCTGTGATGCAAAGCTGAATTTTCTGCATCATTACTCCAGTCTTCAGTGTCACATGATCCTTCAGAAATCATTCTAATATGCTGATTTGCTGCTCAAAAACATTTATTATTATCATCTATGGTGAAAACAGATCTTAATATTTTTGTAGAAACTGTGATGCATGTAGTAAAATCGGTAAGAGTTGCAAGTGACACCAAGGTAAAATACAAGACTACATAGCATTTACAAAATGCCTAATTCTGAAATTTAAAACAATACATAAATTAAAAATAAAACAAAACTGAGTGGAAGAATGAAACAAAGGTGTCATTATCAGTGTGGTTGATTACGCACACATTTGACAATCTACGACTACCACAACTATTTTATGTAGGCTTTTATTATTATCTATTATTAATATAGGCTAACTTAGTTATTAAGTTAGATAACTTAATGGTCGTTCCTATTTATGTTTTTTTAAATGCACAAGACAACTACAGAAAGTCATATCGAGCTCAGTTCAAGGCTGGTCGACACTAAAGCACGTGTTTTTGTAGCTTTATGTTATTTTAAAATGCAAATATGGTTCATTCGAGCGTTTTGTGCACCTGTCAGGTGTATGACTTACCTTCACTATTTGATCGTCTATTATAATAGGTCCGACAAACACCAGCACAGTCCCGAATAAAACCGCCAAACCTCCCAGAACTATAAAAACGATTGATAATGTAGACTTAGACACCGCCATCCTTATTTTCACACAGTTCACTTCACAAACAAACGCGGAGCTTTGAGAACAATAAAGTGATTTCCTCTGGAAAGCGCAGGGAACTCAAAGCGTGACGGCTGAACAAACTATCACTTCTACAAGATAAAGCCATAAAACTCTGGCCATTGAGTTATCAATGCTCTGCTGACTTTATGATCATGTACAGTACAGCTGATGAGTGATGTTAAAGTCCGGCTCTCTAATTCTGCAGGTTTTATAGCGCTCTTGCTGTTTGATTACCATGTTTACGCACCACCTATAAACCAGAGACTTCTGGGTAATGTAGTTACACACGCCTCACACCATGAAGGATAAGAAACTATTTAGAAAATCTAATCTAGGCCTATTAAGTCACTTTATTTTATTTGGCACAATTTAAAAGCAAAGTTTACAATACGTACATACAGTCAGTGTTGGGGGTAACGCATTACAAGTAACGCGAGTTACGTAATCAGATTACTTTTTTTCAAGTAACTAGTAAAGTA